TCCCATCACAACACCAACCATGTACCCGCGGGTGGACCCATAGGTAGTGCCCCACCCGTGGTTCCGCCCACGGGAACATCATCCCACAAGGCCATGTACCCGCGGGTAGGCCGGCGGGTGGTGCCCCGCCCGCCGTTCCGCCCGCGGGTACACACTTGTACCACAACAAATCCCTTCGCGGATTTTCTTCTCCAAACACAAATTCAAGTCCAAAACATGCCAAATCTCACCCAACACAACAAAATGACGTGAGTCATGGAAAATGCCAAGAAATGGCACAAAGGAACCCTAAACACAAGCTCTAGATATGCAATATCACAAGACAAATGCATAAACCCTCACATTTCATAGCAAAGCACAAGTAGAATCCAAGAAATCACATATAGGTAAGAAAAATAGGTTTTAGTAGAACATGGGTTACCTCTTGTAGACCAAAAGACTTCACTTTACACCTCAACAAGCTCCTTACAAGGCTTACTATCCAAACCCACTTCAAGATCAAACCAAAAGATCATAAAGATCCTATTTTTAAGAAAAAAGACAACTAAGATGGAACCAAAAACACAAGATGGACTTAGATCTTACCCTCCTAGATGCCCAAATAGGTGAAAGGTTGAATCTTGGAAGCAAATCTTGGAATCTTGACAAGGGTCTCAACTTGGCTTGGAGAATAAGCTACACTTCTTTTCTAGAGATAAGGTAGAGCTAATTTCTAGGAATTGTAAGGAATGAAATGAAGAAGTCTTCTAGGTTAGGTTACAACACTAACTCTTGGTGAAAAGTCAAGAATACCCTTACTAACCTTTAGAAAGTGTAAGGAACAAGGGAACTCCACTCAAAGCTCAAGGTACAAAACAACTTTAAGGTTGACTAGTCAAATATTAGTCATTGAGTATTAAAAATCAGGATTTTAGGAATTAATTCCTCAAATAAAATAGGATTAATTACTCAATTAATCCATGGGTTGAATGTGGATTTTTGGGGTGTCACAAGGGGCATCATCGGGAGCATTCCACAGCGGGTCTTGCTCCAATCTTGTCAAGAAAGTCGAACGTGGTGAAACGAAATCATCATTGCTCAGACCACCTTCAACCCCCCTAGAGCACATCTTGACCTTCTTACCTGGAGAATAGAAGAATAATAAGATTCACATCTCAGCACACGCACCGAAAACCAAAACCAAAAAAAAAAAACCAATAAAAATAAATAAACCCACCCCATCCTACTAAACGAAACTGGAATGCACACACCTATACCAACCCCTGCACACGCCACCGGAGTAAACACAGAATGCACACACCAAACTAAACCTGACAAACAACAACAAGGGCGAGCACACAACTACGACAAACCATGCAAACACCTCCAACACAATAAATCAAATTAATAACGACACTGTATCTTTTTTATTGTATAGAAAAGCAGCAAAAATTAATAGAGAAGTAAAAAACAACCGAAATGAACACCCAAAACAACCCCACCCCCGCCAACCCCACGGCAGAAGCATCCCCTCACCCCCAATTTCTGATTTGGCAAATTGATAATCAAAACCAACATAAAAAAAATACAGGTTTTCCCCCGTGCACACAGTAATAGGCAAGCGTGCACACATTATAAAAAAACACCATACGATGGCAAAAAACACACAGACATAGTCATACAGTTAAAGGACATTCACTAACGACAAAGAAGGCGACCATGAAGCCACGCACACAGTCAGGGATTAGCGTGCACTAACATCCAAAAAACTAACTCCTATCGATCATCCATCAAATACTATCCCATTTAGCCCTATCATTATGAATCAGTAAAAAAAGAAAAAAAAAAAAAAAAAAAAAAAAAAAAAAAAAAAAAAAAAAACATCCTCTAGATGCCAGGTAAATGCAAAATACAATATACTTTTTCAATGCTAAAAGAGCAAACTTTAATATTTTCTGGATGTGAATTTAACACATTTGAAACTGTTTTTTTCCTCCTTTTAATAAACAACGATAGTGAATCCATTTGCTAGAGTTCAAATCAAAACTGCATATTCAACTTTGGCACATGATTAGATATAGACCTGCAGCTATTGATGCTTTCTACAAAATTATAGCCATTTTACACTACAAAAACAAATTCCAGTTAAAGTTCCTATACTAAATCCTTTTGCGTAGTTAATGCCTGCTTGAATTAGCCTCCACAAAACAAGGGATGCACCATAAAGAGTAACACCATTGTTTTGCAGCGGCGGCAAACAATGGGTGGAAAAAAAAGGACAAAATCACACCGCCATGCACGGCCGAGATGCCCCCTAACCCACTGGAGCCGACATGGCCACGAACACAAACCTTCACACCCCAGTAAACTAGAAAAAAAAAAACCCTAGCTACCAAATTCGGCCACAAAATCGACAATACCCATAACCCCCGACCCCAAATCCACATCTACCAGCCACCGTACAACAAAACCCCCAATGTTGACCGCAAAAAAATACAGAAAAAAACAAAAACTCAAAAAAAAAAAAGGACTAAACAAATCGAACTAACCTCGGCCGACATCCGGTGGTCCCCTGCCTCTTCAGCGTGCCGCGATCCCCCCCCCCCCCCCCCCGACAACCATAACTACGTGGGATTGAAAATGAAGGAACAAACGAGAGAAGCCGACGCGAGTCGCCTAGCTCGTCCACACACTCCCTACGCACGACAAGAGAACACACAGAAGAATAAGAAGACATCAGACATGCGTGTGAAATTGAACCTAATTTGACAAGAATTCAACACAAGTAAAATACCATATATACCCCTCTTAACATAAAAACACAATAAACTAACGCTAAAATGTACGCCCAAATCACAGCCATCAAAATGCAACATCCAATGGCCCAAATTAGTCCACATGTATATATTTTAAGATGTGTTTTTACCTGAATATAATTATATATATATATATATATATATATATATATATATATATATATATATATACACATATATGTATAGATTTTGAATCCAGTGCACACCCCCTAGTCAGCCGAGCTCGTGAGCACACTCTCTGATCGTTGATTTGTTTTGATCAAGGGCTCAGATGGTGTTGGTTTATTCCACACGTGCGCTGTTTATTTAGGTAAGGAGGGGCTGTTTTGTAATTTAACTTATGCTTTTATTATCCTAGCCTTTTATTTCTGGCATAACTAAGGATTTGGGTTTTTATTTTTTAGGTTGTTTTTTGTTTCTCTACGCTTTGCTCTCGCATCTCTCTGTATTCCCGCACATCTCTCTCGCCGATTGGTCTCCCTCCGGTCGAAGCGTTGCATCGACTGCCCGGCGTTAGTGTCTCCATGGATGGGTCTAGCAGAAGGCAGTCCAAGCGACTTAGGGGTATCTCGTCTTTGTCTAGTGCGGGTACTATTATTTTTTAAAAATTTCTTTTTTTTGTGGTGTTTTTTCTCGGATGTTGGTGGGTTTGTTGCCGTAGCGTACGTGATTGGTTTGGGGTTTTGGATTTTCGTTTTCTTGTGCGGTCGGAGTTCTTGGTTGTGTGTTTTTTTCTGGGGGTTATCACCAGGGTGTATTTTGCGTCGCCTCTGTAATTAGGGTTTGGGGGTGGTGTGAGAGTGACATTGGGGGTTGTTTGATTTCTGGGTTAGGGTTTTGGGGTTTGGGGGCGGCGGGTGTTCTTCTTTTTATTTTATTTTATTTTATTTGCGTGTTGTTGTGTGTTTTTTTTTTTAATTTTCCGGTGTGTGTGTGTGTGTGTTTTTTGTTTTTGTTTTTTTTTTTTTTAGAAGAAGGTGTGCTTGCATTCTTTACCAGCATTTATCTCCTCTGGATAACAGTAGTTAATGAAGAACAGAGAGTTAATGAATACATCTTCTTCATGAGAGGAGAAAACCTTTAGGCAGAGAGAGCAGAAACTTAAACGGCAAATGAAGATGAGTACATTAACACCAGAGAGAGCAGAACCTTTATTGGCTCTCTTTGAATTGTGCGGTGTGTTTTTATTTTCCCGTTTGGTTGGAGAGATGGTGATGGAAGGATGGTGGCATTGCAGAGGGGATGGGGAAGGAAGAAGGGTTGTGGGTTTTATTTTCCCTAACATTGTTATAAGAGAGTGATTTTGTCCAAGTGTTGAATATTCCAGGGATTGGAATATAATATTTTATAGTAAATAGGTTTTGAAAACATTTTTTAATGTTTAAGGGGTGACGAAACATTTAAGCCTAATATATACTCCATATTTAAGTAATGACAATTTCTATATTCGAATGGTTCTCATGAGATATTCAGATGCCACCCACTTGTAGCCTAGCTCTTAGAAGAAAATAAAAAGTAATTGTTAATCTTTCTGAACTACTAGTCATCCTTGCTGTCTAATGAGTAGTTTTTTTCCACCTCATAAAAGTTTTGCTTTGACAATCTTGCTGTCTTTCATTCCTTTTCCTTTTGGACCATTATTTTCAGTGTATTTGATATTATTTCTCTTAACTCAAACCAGAAATGGCAGAGCTTGTGGTTGTAAGAAATGTCAAGATTCTTTCTGCATGAACACATATGTTGCCCAAAAAGGGATAGACCTTTCTCAGCATCCCTTTTTTCTATTTGAATAATACTAAAACGTTGATTTTACTCTCCAGATATCCTACTCTTGACACAACTGTACAGTCAAATTATCCTTTGAATGAGGGATTAATGGGCTTATTTCTTAAACACATGAAGTGCTTTTGAATCTCAATGATAGATATTGAATATGCCTTTTGTTGTTAGCTCAACTGAACAAAAACAAGAACATGGATTATTAATTGGTAGTGGTCCGATACCTATGAAGATGTGAAGAGGATACTGTTGATTGTTTGATAGTCACAAATGAATTACCATATTCTTGTTAATATGTTTTACTATGGCCTCATTTATTTTTTGGATGACTGACTTTGGTTGTTTGAAATTAATCTGTTCAAGTTATTGTAATATGATTAAATAATACTTGAATGAAGTATAACCAAATTGTTTTCTGTTCTGCAGGGAAACTTGTGCAACCTGGTGGTATGTTTTATATGTGCTAATGATATTACTTCTATAATCAACTTCATGCACTTAAGTTACTAATATTTTTATGGATCAGGAGGTCTGCAGGATGTTCTCCATATGCATGATGTTCTTGTTAGAGTTGCACTTGCTAGGTTGTGCCACACAATATCTAGAGCTCGGGCATTAGATGGTATGCATATCTGAAAAATAATTACATGAATTTTATGCTTTTAGTTTTTGGAAAAATTGATATCTGTGCCATAAAGTGTGAATTTTTATTAAAATCTTAAATCTTGTATGTGCAGAAAGACCTGCATATGAATAGAGAACCAGATACTCTTTTATCTCTTTTATCTGCCAAGGTGTAAATTTCACCATTTTTGCCTAGAATATTGGTTGTTAATAGATGACATTTAGGCTTTCACACAACCAAGATGTAACTGAAGTGACTCAATTTAATTAAATGGTTGCTTTCTTGCCAACAATTCATTACATGTGTAATGTGTTTAAATCAATTGCCTCCAAAAGCTGGTTTTCTTCTCATTGTATAGAAGTATCAGAATTCGTATGGTTCCAATGTGATATTGCCTTTCCATTTATTTGAACCCATTGCATAATATGTGATTCATTCGCACACACCACAACGCGTAAATGCACACGTCCCATCATCATTACGCGCACGCTTCTCAATTGCTCGCACACCACACCGACAATTAAACATCTGCTACCAAAATGAATTTACCCAACACGCACTAACTGAATCCACGACACGCACAGACCACTACATGAATACGCACACTCCATAATTAAAAACGCAGAGACCCCCCATACTTTTACCCATTCAGTAATTTTCTTCCATATACGGTCAAACCACATGCATTCAACCATATCCCCAATAATAACTTAGCTCCTTGGATCTCGAATTTCAGGAAAAACATTTTACACCTTCAATTCACCAAAACGCACAGGCCACAACAGTAACACGCACACACCATTACAAGTAGACACACAGACCACAATTCCAAACGCACAGACCCGTAATACTACTCCTGTGACGCCCAAAAATAACAAACCACTTCTACCTATTTAGTTAATTTCTTCCATATTCGGGCAAACAACATACATTCAACCATACCCCCAATAATAACTTAGCTCCTTGGATCTCGAATTACATGAAAAACATTTTACACCTCCAATTCACCGAAACGCACACGCCATAACAGTAACACGCACACACTATAACAAGCAAACGTAAAGCCCACAATCCCAAACGCACAGACCCCCAATACTACTCCTGTGACGCCCAAACAATAACAAACCACTTCTACCCATTTAGTTAATTTCTTCCATATTTGGGCAAACAACATGCATTCAACCATACCCCCAATAATTCTTTAACTCCTTGGATATCGAATTACAGGAACACGCACACGCCATTACAAGGCGCACAGACCGCAATTCCAAACGCACAGACCCCAAACACTACAGCACTAAATTTCTGTACTACTACTACTACATGTTCGTATCTCATCCACAGATACTTTCTATTTGTTACCATTCTTATTCCATCTAATATTATGCTAAATATTACTAATTTATTTTAGCCATAATTAACAACACTATTACAATGACTCCTCTATCCTTATTTTTAAATTCTAACCTTAATTATCTAACACATCTCTTTCAATCACATCCATCAAATTTTAGTAACTTAATGGTTGTGATGAGACCTCATCTAGTATAGGGGGTGCACCGGATTCGAAGCCTATATGTGTGTGTGTATATATATATATATATATATATATATATATATATATATATATATATATATATATATATGTATACATACATACATACATACATATATATATATATAGGCGAGTTCAGGTGCGGCGGTGTCTTACGGTGCGGCCATCTCTTACGGTTTGGCATCACCAATAGTTCAACAAATATGCACCATCAACGTTAGGAAAATACACCACAAAAAACAGAGAAAACAGAGCCCTGCATCACTAAACACACACCATTAGGTGTGAGTAAAAACACGATACACTATTTCGAAATACACCATTGGGGGTGGTGAGTTATCTGGTGTATTTTTTTGAGTCTGTTGTGTATTTTGTGATGTTTTATTGCATTTCATTGTGGTGTGTTTTTCTTACACTATTGGTGCATATTGTTAACACTATTGGTGTATTCTGGAATTCCGCCGCACCGCCGCACGGGAAGACCCCGCCGCATTTGAACTTTATTCTATATATATAAATATATATATATATATATATATATACATATATATATGTAGGAACCACTCAATAGGTGAGAACATAAGAACTCATCTCAGCTTTTGGATCTAAGACAATTAATCATTAGATAAAAAATTAAAAAGGCTAGTAGGGTAATTTTAGCCCCCAATAATTTTTAATTATAATAAATTTGATTTCATCCCAATAGGCACTGGCTGTGTGCCTTCGTTGTCGTCAAGAGTGTGCCCAATACACAAAACAGATTGGCATGCTATGCCTTTCTGTAGTACCCTGTGTGCACATCTCTAGATTTTTCTGCTTTGTGGTTTTCCCCAACTTAAACAAGTAACTAACTACTAAAATTCTGCACCCTCTGATTTGTTGTCTGCGGGTACAAGTTGGTGTTTGTGTCATTCATCGGGGTGGACCACCACAAGAAGAGCGTGACATTCGCAGCAAGATTAATTGCCCGAGAAGATGTGGACTCCTACACCTGGCTGCTCGAACACTTCAAAAAACGCAATGGGTAAAGTTCCAGCATGCACAGTTACCGACCAAGACCCTGCCATGAAAGCTGCAATAGCTAGAGTATTTGATACAACTTGCCACAAATTTTGCATGTGGCACATCATGACAAAGGTATGCGAGAAGGTTGGGCCAACATTAGCTAAGAGTGAAGGATTCCTAACAAGCTTAAACTACGTGGTTTGGAATGAGATGCAAACAATTGGAGAGTTTGAAACAGCCTGGCAAACAGTCATGGAGAAATATGATCTGGTTGAGCAGAAATGGTTTAACCACTTGTTTGAGATACGTGCACAATGGATACTAGTTTTCTTCAATGACGTGTTCATGGGTGGCTTACTTAGAACAACCTCACGGTCAGAGTCAGAGAATAGCATATTCAGCAAATGCACTTCCCCCCATCTAAGTTTAGCAAAGTTCTTCATAAAGTTCGAGAAAGCAATATGCAAACAACGCCACTACCAATTGCAACTAAACGCAGAATGTGAGGGCAAATTCCCAGAGTTGAAAACGCCATTATTGCTAGAGCGTCAAGCTGCTACAACGTATACCGTCGCTGTGTTTTATGATGTCCAAAAAGAAATAGTCGACGCGTGTTTCTCATCCCAAGTTGTTAAAAATATAGTTGAAGGATGCACCATCAAATTTGATATAGAAGACACGAACCAGTTGACATATTCAATGGAGTACAATTCTTCCGACGAAACTGTACAATGCACATACAAGATGTTCCATAGGATTGGACTATAGTGCAAACATGTGTTCTTGGCAATTAAGGCTGCACATTTGGAGCGAATACCTAGCCGATATATCTTACCCCGATGGACATGCAATACATGTTGGCCCCACGCACAGCTCTATGCCAACGCCGACCAAGATGGTTCTATCGAACACGTGGATGGGACTACTACAATGGGAATCGTATTTGATGAGTTCTTCAAGTGTGTTAAGTATGCATATGGTAACAACGACAGAATAACAGAGCTTGCACAAATACTAAAAGCGCACAGAGAGAAGTCAGTAGAAAACATACCCCAGGATGAAACCAGAGCATCAAAAAGCGGTATTATACGTAGCTTCTGTGGGTCAACCGCATCACTGAACATCAAGGTTCACCCCCCTGCCATTGCTAAGAACAAAGGTTCAGGTAAGCGAATGAAGTCAACAAAGGAGATTGCATCAATACTAGCTGCCAAGGGGGTACGGAAGTGTAGGACTTGCAACAAATACGGACACCATGATAGTCGCAACTACGAGCTACGGCCGAAGACCAAAGGCCAAAAGTACGAAAAACAGACATAGTCAAATCACCCCATCCATCCGAACTATGCACCTAAGAACAGGAGCGTGTGCCTGACTGATATACTGACTTTAATTTTATTCACATCCTTTAATGTTGTATTTGTGTATGGATAACTGTCTACCAACTCCATTTATCATAGCTACATACATGCTCATGTGAATCAATTACTTCAATGTGTAAAAGATTCGCTATTTATAGTCACCCTATGGCAGGCTGTATGCATCTAAGATCGGTTCTGTGTGCCCACATGCGGGCGTGATCGGCCTGTGCACCTGAGACCAACCGGGTGTGCCTTAAAGAGATATTCCACCATAGTTTACACATTCTTTATCACTATACTTGGGCACGAATAATTTCCTATTTGAGATGGCATATCTCGCATGCTGGGTGCACCTGAGTTCAGTACAGTGTGCCTGCCAGCGCCCTATGGCAGGCTGTGTGCATCTAAGATCGATTCTGTGTGCCCACATGCGGGCGTGATCGACCTGTGCACCTGAGACCAAACAGGTGTGCCTTATAGAGATATTCCACCACAGTTTACACATTCTTTATCACTATACTTGGCCACGAATAATTTCCTGTTTGAGATGGCATATCTCGCATGTTGGGTGCACCTGAGTTCAGTACAGTGTGCCTGCCAGCGCTCCATGGCTACACATTGTCACTCACCCGTTATTATTCCATTTGCGTAGTAATGCTCGACAGCCAACTATAATATATAGGGACACACATGAGCTGGTGTAAATCGCTAAGACTAAACTCCAGGAGATTGTGTTGGCTGTACCTTAGCAGTTGCAAGGCACAAAATAAAGTTGGTGTGCACATGGGTACAAGTAAATGTGCCCAAGAAAGCGCAGCCACCAAAATCGCAGCACCCAAGTTGCTGTGTGCATGGTTAAAAGTACATGTGCTAGTTCATGTGAATTCAACCAACAAATAGTGTGTCATTATGTGCTGTAACACTGTAGCCATTGCCCATATGTGCACACGCGTCGGACTGCATGTGCCAGCGTGGTCAACAGTACCGGCAGATATGAAGATTAAGCAAACGGGACAAGAATAAATTAATTTAGGATACACTAACAAAAAACATATTCACTGAACGTACCTAGGTGACCTAAGCAAATATGCTAGCCAACAACCAATGAAACTAGTGTGCACATACGAAGATATGTATA